CAATTTTAGGTGATGAGAAGGGTAGGACAATTTGGAGGACAATGCTTGAGAAGTGGAAGATTGGTAATGGATGGTTACCAAGTGCAAAGCTCCTTCAACAGAGGTAACCAAGAATTTACTGAATGTATGTCTTTTGAAGATGGTTTAAGGTGCTTAAAGGCAAAATTTGATGTAATTAAGTTACAAGTTCAAATGGACACCATGATGCATGAAATTGAGCAGAGGAGGAATGTTAATGCTTTTAATTCTTATCATGTGATTTGTGACTTGTGTGGAGGTTATCATGCTACTAATACATGTATGCAAGCACAAAATATTGAATATTATGATGAATCAAAGCATTACAATCCTTGTTTTGATCAATATAGTGCTAATTGGAACAATTCTCCTGCTTATGGTTGGGATAATCAATGTACTTATAATAATTCTTCATATTTTTACGATTACCAACCTGAATGTGTCCAATATGAATCAAAACCATCTTGGGAGTTAGTTATAGAAAAATTAGCTAATGTGACTTCCGACCGTTTTGATAGGATTGAGGAAAGGATAGATGAATTGGCTTCTCACTTTGGTAGAATACAAGATCAATTACATGTATTGTGTGAAGTTATTTTCTCTAATAATTTGCAAAATGATCCTAGCATGAATGGTGGGAATGTTGTATGTGAAAATGGATTGCATTTGGATGAAAATGATGAATTTCAATTGTGTTTTAATGAGCAAATATCCATTTCACATGATAATATCTTTGGAACTAACTTTGAGCCTCAAGAGGTGAGTTTTAATGACTCATTTTTCACCCCTCTTGAGGAGTGCATTGAAAGTATAGGTTCTAAGGGTATTGCTGCCCAAGATCCTCTCATGACATTTCCTTTGGTAAGTTCTCAAGTGGTGCATATTCAAGGTAATATTTATGAAACACTTGGAATATGTAAGTCACTTTCATTTCTCCTATCAATAGATCATGTGACTTTTGCTATAAAGTCACCATTTAATGATCCACCACGACCAAAAATGGTGGATTATTCGTTAACTAAGCCTCCTTGAAAAATGAGGTGAAATAGTCAAGCTATTGACTTTAAAGAAGCGCTTATTGGGAGGCAACCCAATGTTTGTTTAAGTTTATGTTATTTTGGGGTGATTTTATGTTTAAAGTATATGTTTGAGTTATTTTGTTATTTTTCATTTGTAGGTATTGGAAATGGAAGCAAAAGTGACCAAATGAGATGAAAAAGGCGAAATTTGATCAAGGAACTCAAACCCTCAATTTTAGGAATGGTTGTTTTTGATTTGTTAGAAGGGGTTAAAATGCATATTTTGATCATTTTACATGTGCATGCATTGAGAATTTTAGCAAACAAATGATCTATGATGCATTTTGAATGATTGGGGTACAAATGGTAATTTTTCAAAATTGGCTTTCTGCAAAAATTTCGCAGAAGAAAACGCACTTGGGCTGAAAACGCGCCTTAGAATCGCGTTTTCCATAATCGCGTTTTCAATTCTGCGCCTATACTGAAGAAAACGCGCCTTCAAAACGCGACAGGAAGTCGCGTTTTCTACCAAGTCGCGTTTTCCAACCTGATCAAAAATTGAAAACGCGCCTTAAAATACGCGACTCAAAGTTGCGTTTTATAACACAGTCGCGTTTTCGATCCTGCAAGATATGTGAAGAAACGCGACTTCACAAAACGCAGCTTGGTGGCGCGTTTTAATGAGTCGCGTTTTCGGAAAAAAAAAAAAATTGCAGATTCCTTGATTCTCTTTTTTCTTCTTTTCCTCATATATTTTCTTGTACCTTGAGTCACGAAAACAAAGGATTGAAGTTACGGATCATCATTTTGTTTATTAAACCTTTGTTATCACTTTTGTTTCTCATTTTCCATTTTTAGGTTTATATCACTAATGGTTACCAAATGGAAGTTATGAAGCACTAAAGATACACGGACAATGGATTTTGAAGCTTCATATTCAATCGCAACAATAGGGGAGTATTACTTTTCTTTATCTTGATTTTTCTTTTTACACATTGAGGACAATGTGTATGTTAAGTGTGGGGGGAGAATTGAGATTATATATATTGTATGTGATTGACTTATTAGTTGCAAATATTGGACTTGTGTTAAAATTCAAAATTTTTCCAAAATCTTGTCCAAAATTGCAAACTTGCCTCAACAATTTTTAAATTTTTTTTATTTTATCCAAGAGGTAACAAGTTCCATACCATTAGTAGTTCAAATTCCTTCTACATTTGAGATAAATATATATGATTTGGAAACTTCTTTTCTCATTTAACTTGGAAATGACTATTATGTGATTATAATTTTTGCATTTGTAGGAAAGTATATCTTTTAAAGTGGAGAAAATTATGCCTATATTTTTTTGCATATTTGATGAAATTTCTTCTCTTTCTTGGATTTTATAAGTTAAGTGATAAATATGGTCAATAAGTGCAATACTCTTCTCATGATTATTCTTTTAAGGAATTTATTATTATCTTTGCTGTAAAAAGAAAAAAAAAAGAAGAAAGAAAAAGAAAAAAAAAGATTTATTCTACTCCAATGATTCTCGTACTTAGTAACCGGGAGTCTTCATCTACAAATGTCGACTTTCGCGTAAAACGGTACTTGAATTAAGAGTATGCAAAGCAACTTGAGTATGTGAAGTGTTGAGTAACCGGTGATCTTCATCTAAAAATGTCGATTCTCGCGTCAAAAGACACTTTCACAACTTAAGTAATATTTAGCTACGTTATATGAATAAATATCTGTTTAAGTAGAATAAAAAGGTGATCATGAGTTTAGAAAGTATTTTATTGACCATATGAGTTACTTACTTGTAAGATTGGGTAAGGATGAAAAATTGATTTGAATTTGTTATAATGACGGTATAATTGGCTCTCCTTTACTTGATATTATGAGTACTTGAATTTAATTAAATAATTGCATAATGGTTATTTACTTTGTTTTGAGGAAATGAAGTTGAAATGCTACATATGTTTATTTTCAAATTTTGGATCATTGTTGGTTTGTATTTCTTATTGCTTGAGGACAAGCAATGATTCAAGTGTAGGGGTATTTGACAAGGGTTTATTTTACGTATTTTTAGTGTGTTTTATTAGTTAATTTTGGTTTGATTATTTAGTTTTATAACTAAAATAACTAAGGTTTTGGTAAAAAACTACATTTTATGTTAAAATGGCTAATATTGCATTTCTATTGATTTTAATAGTAAAAACTTCATTTTTATGCAGGAATGATGATTCAACCACCAAAGGATGTCAAGTGAAGTGAAAAATAGAGATTTGGTGATGAATTCAAAGTGGTAAAAAGAAAAATGAAGTGAAAAACGTTTAAGAAAGGAAATGCAAGTCAAGACAGTTTTGACACTCTTCAGTATTTCGACTATATATGGAGCTACACTGATCGGATTGAGGTGATCTTTATACCAATTTAAAGCTAAGAAAGAGATCTACATTTGGTATGAAGACATCAAAGTCCGATTCAGCCGTTTTCATAGTCCAAAAGTTGAAATACCGAAATTCAACTCAGCTGTCCAAAGTGGAAAACAGAGTTCCGACCAGTGTTTAGTATTTTCATCATATCTCAGTCTACAAAGCTCCGATTTGGATGATTCTTGAAGCATTGGAAAGCTAACTCAAAGGGCTACAACTTTGGTGTTTTGCACAAAAGCCAGTTCAGCCTTTATGATAGAGAAAATCGCAGTTGAAATAAGGACAAAGTGAATACGCGAGTACACAAAACGTGACTTGTAACCGCGTTTTGTGTAGGCGCGTTTTCTGGCCGAAATTCTGCAATTTGACTCAGCCATTTCCCTTGTGTTCATACCACTTTCCAGCTATAAGATGCAAGGGAATTCGGTGCACATGCTTCAGAAGACAAAATGGCAGACAATATGGCTTATTTTCAAGTCAAAAACAATGGTTTTTGACTATCTTAACAAAATGAGATTTGAAGAATCATAGCAGCAAATTTGGACTGGGAGAAGAGGAACTTTTCATGAGTTTATATGCAGAGACAGAGGATTCATTCATTCATTATCATACGGGAGAGAACTTGAAGTGCAGAAATGTAGTTCTTTCATTTCCTTAGTGTAGGATAGTGTAGTAAGTGTAGTTAATCCATTCTTGTATAATAGCTAGATTAGGATGAAGATGGAGATGAAGAAGGAGGAATTGAAGCTCAAGTGACATGGGTTATCTCTACTCCAATTCTTTATCTTTTGTATTGGATTCTTAACTATGGTTATAATGCAAGTTCTGGAATTTATGTTTATTATTTGTTTCTAAAGTTTATGCCTTGGGTTTGGTTGAACTTCCTATGATTATTAGTGTTTATTATTTGGCTATTTGATTGCTAGTAATTGAACAAGTTATTTAGCACTTTGGCTCTTTAAATCATGATTAATCTGGTACCATTAATTGTGATTATCTAAGGTGTTATTTCTGCAATGAAAATTGAGATTTAACATTAGTTCAATAAGTGCTAAACATGGGGAGTACACTCACGAGAGTAGAGGTGCACCTATGGGGTTTTGGTGATTAATTTCATGTAATTTCATTGAAGAAATGAACTTGTAACTAATTTCATAACCATGAGAATAGGTATGGATTGGTTATTAGTATAATTGATTCACTACGAAAGTAGGATTCAAATGCATAAGAAAATTACACCATAACTAGCTTAGATGTAGTACTCAATGATCCAAATATAGCACTTGCATGAATAGTTAGGGATACCACAACCTAATGAGCTTTTATTTGTTATTTTGTATAATTTCAGTAGGTTAAATTTGTTATAATTTATTGATAGTCTAAATAATAGAGAAGCTTTAGTAATACCGGTAATTGTTCACTCTTCCTTGTGGGATCGACCCGATATATACCCTAAACTACTAGTTGATCTGTATACTTGCAGTGAACGGGTGTAATTCGGTATTTTTTAGCTTGCACGTATGTAAAATACCCGTCATGGCCAAACACCAAGTATATCGATGTTATCGTGACTGGGACCATGTCACAGTACATACCAACTCTGGATTACTATAGCAATGGCCTACCTCTTGTGTGCACCATGTATGCTTCTTCAGAGTGCTTTTTTGGTGTCAATCTCAACCCTCTTTGCAAGCCAAGCGAAGTTTCCTATACCCTCATTCCCACCCTGGGATATTTCGAATTCTTGCCGGTTGATAGAAACAATGGCGTTACAAATTGTATTTCCATGCCGAAATCCCTCAATGGGAAGGAGAAACAGGAATTGGTTGATCTCGCTGATGTTAAGCTTGGACAGGAGTACGAGCTTGTTGTCACCACTTATGCAGGTAATATTCTGTTCATATTTTAATCCTAATAAGACTATGGTTAAAATACTCTCAAGCCTGTATGTCCGTTTTCAAAAATGGCAATCCTGTGCTAACCTTTTTTTTTTTTTTTTCCCTTCCTTTTTTGGGTGGGTGGTCAATCTTTCAGGCCTTTATCGCTATAGAGTGGGAGATGTACTAAGGGTTGCTGGATTCAAGAACAAGGCCCCTCAATTCAACTTCATATGCCGCAAGAATGTGGTCTTAAGCATTGATGCTGATAAGACTGATGAGGTTGAGCTACAAAATGCAGTGAAAAATGCTGAGAGCCATTTGGTCCCGTTTGATGCCCAGGTGACAGATTACACTAGCTATGCTGATACCACTACAATTCCTGGACATTATGTTCTTTTCTGGGAGCTTAGCCTGAATGGCTCGACCCCAATTCCTCCTTCAGTTTTTGAGGACTGTTGCCTGGCCGTTGAGGAGTCGCTCAACAGTGTCTACCGCCAGGGTCGTGTTTCTGACAAGTCAATCGGCCCTCTTGAGATCAAGATTGTGGAGGCTGGCACATTTGATAAGCTTATGGACTATGCCCTCATCTTAGGAGCTTCAATTAATCAGTATAAAACTCCCCGTTGCGTCAAGTTTGCGCCAATTGTTGAACTTCTGAACTCGAGGGTTAAGGCCAGCTACTCCAGTCCAAAATGCCCCAAGTGGATTGCTGGTCATAAGCAGTGGAATATCAACGTGAAATAAGGAAAGCTTGGAAGTGCTCATCTTGGTAGCTGTCTTTGGATATCCCCTCCCCAAATTGAAAATTAAGGGAAAAAAAAAAAAAAAACAAAAGAGAACTGTCTTGTGATCATCTTAGTGCATAGGAATTAAAGCCCCGTGTAGGTTAACCCCCATGATTTTAATGTTTATTTGAATCTTTGTTCAATTTTAACTGCTGCTTATTATGATAGATATTTTATTTAACCCCCTTGTATAAAGCGGTTCTTGTTCTAGGAGGAAGAAGGCCCTTGGCTTCTTCCGATTTTGCATTTTACTCTTATGCTGCTTTTAACTCGTAGAGATTATTTTAACGATGTACTTTACAGGTGTGGTAGTATTGTGTGTGTGTGTGTGTGTTTTTTTTTTAGGTTGGCTCACATGATGGTTAGTAAAAAAAAAAAAATGTAGCTCCACTGAAATTATAGTAGTATGATCCAAGTAACAGGGCCCACTGTTGACTGGATGGTTCCAAAGAGGAACCTATATATATATATATATATATATATATATATATATATATATAATTTTTTTAATTTTAGTTCACTGCTTTTGGGTATGTGCAGCACATCTGATGGTGCCAGCTGCATTAGCTGGAAATTTAACATATTAATTTCATGGGAATTGTTTTCTTATTTCCAGCCAGGAATCCTGCCCACTTAACTCTCATGAGCTTGTGTGCTAGAACTGCATAGAAAGCATACCTCATTTGCTTTTCAAAATCCTTTTACCCTTTACTTTTTAGGAAAAGCAACCCAACTTTATGATGTCCCTCATAATTTAGCTCAGACTCGAGAAATTCATTGGTATTCTAGTTACTGGAAACGTTTGTTAACACTCAGATAGCCCTCAACTTCAGTCAATTCTTTACTCTTAAAAGTAGATTTATGAACAAAAAGCTGTCCTCTAGCCTGTTCAGCAGGGGACCCAAGGCCGAGACTTTAGATGATTCATTAATTGAAAGTTATAGCGTACGTAAACTTTCCTGTAGTTCTTGTTGTTGGGATAAAGTGTCAATTGCCCATTTGTCTATGGCATGTAGTAAGACTGAAGGGAGGTCGTAATTAATGGCTTTCTTTCTTTCTTTCGTCTCCTTTTCTTGTTTTCCCTTTTGGATATTTCAGTGTGTTCACTTGTGGATTTAATGCCAGGATGCGACCGCTGCTTTTGTGCTGAGCTTCCAACTCTTCACATATATCCAACGAAGAGGGGGGCAAACCTACGTTAACCTGTAGTGCTTGACACCTATCAGAAATGAAATAATAGGGCACCATAAGCTAAATGATTCCATAAAACATATAGTAGTCTTGTTTCGAAGATAGGGTGGCAGTAAGCCAATCCATTCCGCACCAAGTATTTTGCATTGCATCATGCTTTTCAGAAATTGTATTTGATCTGACTTGTGAAATGAAGCCCACAAAGTCGCTAAAGTGCCAAGGATTCGAAGAGCATACCTATGCTTTTTTCCCCTTTTCTCTCTCTCTCTCTCTCTTTGTGTAAATAATAATTAGGTTGCCTTGAATAACAGCATATGTTATTAAATTCCTGAATTTTGAGCTCAACATGGACTAGTAATTTATGCGTTGACCTTGTTATTTTTTGAAATATGGATTAGCAAGCTTACTTTTGTAATGTTTATTTTATTATTACTCTATAAGAGAGGGTAGCATGACTGCAGACGAATCAAGGCCGCTGCTCATGATTTATTGAGCGCACACAAGCTAATTGAGTCTACGTTTAGACACACACACGCGCTCAATCAATCTAAACCTAGCTCAAGTCTAAGTTGGAGGAGCACGTCATCATGGTCGGCTTACAAATTCATCAAACTTGATCGAGCACAAACAGCCCCTCGATGGCAAGAAATTGGCGGGGTTAAAAATGAATGTAATAAAAAATATACTTGGCACTGAAGGAGGAAAAGAAGATAATAGATGTTTCGAGTATCAGGATCAAAGCGGACTAAAAATTGCATATAGCTGCTGCTGCTGCAATCAAGCCACGTAGAAAGGAATTTTTATGCAACGTTTCCGGTCGATGTAGTTTGATACTTGCGCTTCGCAATTTGATGCTGGGCTCCATTATTGTCTCGCTTGAGATGGAGACGGAGACAAACGGATTGCGAGCAGAAACAATTCTTCAATTTGCTAAAAGTAAAAGAGTTATAGCAATGAGTCGGGTAGTTGTGCTAGTCAACCATTGCTGATAAAATACAAGAATTGATTAGTTTACATCTAAAAGATATCCCACTAGGGACATAAATCTCATACCCAACTCGTTGATGTTCTTTACTCCATTCAATTTTCTCGTGGGTTATGAAGAATAATTCCCCTCTGATTAGACAAGTCTAAGTAGCAGTGAGAAGTTGATACAAAAAAGAATGGTCGTCGTGACATCCTCCAACGCGAGATTTTCCGGTGGTAGAATAAAATGACAAATAAGCTTCGTAATCCACTTTACCCTTTGTTTTACTAGATGGTAAATTGTTATTATTATTATTATTATGATGTTTGTCCAAAATATTTTTTTTTTTTTTTTTAAAAAAAAACACACACACACACACAGAGCATGATCCATGATCCAGAGCGACGTCTCAAAAGTTTTTTTTTTTTTTTTTTCTTAGCTGATAATTGTGAACTTACAGTGAAAAGCTTCTCTTGAATTTGTGGCGCTGGGGTGTGTGGAATTGGCCCTGAATCCAGATTTTAAGCAGAAAATCCTCGAAAGACAGAAGGACATACGTGCAGGCAGAAGACAGAACATAAAAGAAAAGAAAAAAAAGAAAATAAGAGAGGTGAAGGACGGATAAGATAATGATCGATTTAATTCAGAAAATGTTCCCCAATTTGCCTTGTTAAAAAGAAACAAGGAAAAAACACAATGTGCAGGGCATTCAGACAAACGGCACTGCTCTGAAAACACAGAGAGGAAAAGCAGAGAGACATGTGCAGGGACAAGTTCAGAGAAAGGATCCTGATTAAAGCTTTGATGTGGAGGATGATGTAGAAAGATAAGAGGGAGTGGGTTTTGAATTGTAGTGATGTGTTTGTTTTGGTGCCTCTGTAGCAGCGGTAGTGACTGAAGCAAACTTGCAACGACTGTAAAATCATCCATCATTTGCATTTTGTCTTCATCATTTCACTTCCACATATTTCTTCCTTCCTTCACGCAATTTGGAGCATGCTTCATTGATGGTGAGCTCTATTCCTCGAACAAGATTTTTGAGGTCTCCATTCCCAAACTCAATTCCTTAAAGCAGCCGAGGATGTTTACACTGCGTGTGTATTTGGATAGAGTACGGTTTGAAATATAATTTGAAATGATTATTATAATACTTTGTGTGATTTAATGTACGTGAGATAAAAATATGATTATGAACAATGACAAGTGACTAATCTTATTTATAATATTCACAAAAACATTTTTCTCTTTCTGGGTAAACTGAAAAATCCAAATTATATGTATTTTAATTTAGAAAATTATGATTTGACTAGCAAAAGATCCAAAAAATTATAATCCTTCCCATTAGGGTCGAGTTGACAATATATTTGGAAAAGGATTGTAATAATTTGTGTTTAATTTCAACAACACATAATTCAAAATTTTAGTATTTCCTTTTCTTTTATTGGAATATGATATGCAATAACTCTATATATATATATATATATATATATACACACACATACATATATATGCGCACACAATAACTCTATATATGTATGGTCTTGTTAATTGCACACGCATATTGTGTTTATCTTATCATAGATTTTTTAATATTGTTTTTATTTTTCTAAGATCAGTAGAAAGTGACTGTTTAATAGTATTGTTTTGAATTGGATTTTTTTTAGAAAGAAAATGTGTTTGAAATTTTTGAAGAACAAGTTTCCAACATCTGTCCAAATTCTTGGAGACACATTTAACTTTCAAGGAAAAACATGTTAAATGTTAATGAAAAAAAAAAAAAAAAAGAGTCACAATAATTCTTCAGTTATAGTAACTTGAATTATAGCGCAAATAATCAAATAGAGCACAACAACAGTGGAAATTTGCAATGCACTCAATTACCATCACTTATCAGCACTTTTGTATGAAAACAAACACACACACACACACACATATATGCATACACCAATTATATATATTACCTCTAAAAAAAAAATCCAAGGCAGTGGTGGTGGTGGCAAGTAGTAAGTAGAAATTGGAGCAATAATAAATCCAAAACGAGGAAGACTTACAGGAAATGGAGACCACTCCACGTAACCAAAGATCCCTTTGTCTGTGGGGTCCGCAAACCAAGCAATTGCGATTCCCTAGGAGGCGTAAAATCCGGAAAAAAATATTCAGCTGGAGCTGAGTCTTGGCGGGGGACCAGGTCTAAAATTCCGCCACGTGTAATCGTTGACCTGACGTCGCCCTTTAGTTCTCCCTCTTTCTCCTTGGTCCCCGACTCCTGACTCCGGATATGGCTAAAGAACAAAGGATGAGGCGGATGCATGATTGGCCCCTGAAACAAATCACCCAATCACAAAACAGGAATCCACGTGGGCTCGTCTTCTCCACACCCCATTTTTCTAGTGTGTTACAACTGCTCTTGGCTTTCCTTCTGGGCTCTTCTAAGTTCACTCTTCTTCTATTTATCAAATGCTCCTTTCTTGTCTTCGTCCTCAGTCAAAATTATCTACCTCCAATTCTATATACTAAGGATTACGAATCTATAAATATTTTAATGAGGGTGCAAATCGGAATTGACGAGACATCTTGAGTTGTAGGGTGGATAGACACGCGAGTCTCGACTGGCCCCGTCTGGATTGCGATTTTTCTCAAAAAAAAATTATTTCGTTTTCATTAAACACATTTTTCTATCGCATTTTTATCTCACATATATCAAATCGCAACAGTAATTTTTTTACAAAAAAATGCAATCCAAACGGGGGCCTTAATTTATGATTTGTCTGAAATCGGTTAAAATATTTTTCAGGTGTTATATTTTTTAAAATATAAAATTAATTAGAAAAAATAAATAAATATAAAGAAAGGTAGGTAAGAGTAAGTAGGAAAAGTATATAAATA